ATCATTTATTGGGAAATGAAAAAATAGAGATGTAGACAATACTGGAATATTAGCACTGCGGTTGCAGCACGCACACGGCAAGCAAGCATGCACGACCGACCGACCGTATATGTTACCATACCGTACTTTTTTTTGAACAACATAAGGGCGCTCAAGGCGCCATTCATTCAAAATAACAGCAATTTACATGATTAATGGCATACCCCTGCGGTAATACATCTGCAATAATTTGTTCCAGGGAATAATGCCATTGCTGATATTCAACTGTACTATATTTAATTATAGCCTTTTGATTTGGATGAAATTCCTGCCAATATGCTAGCTTTGCTGCTTCGTGAGCCTCAGTGTTGTGATTTCTATTGACATGAAAAACCTGAACATTACTAGAGGATGTGAGGGCACAAAAATTTGTTAGAAGACCTCTGATAATGCAATGTCCGGGCTGCGAGTTAGGCTCCCTTGCTGCTGCCGCCTTGGCCAATGTGAGATTATCTGTTAAAATGGCTGCTTCCTATATTCCCAACCTGTTTAAAATTATAGCTGCTAATTTGATAGCTAGAGCTTCAGCATGAATTGCCAATTGAGCCTTCAGGGCCATTGCTGCAATCTTGACATGCCATCTTGATTGACCTTCTTGTACCTGCATGAAAATCCCTAGACCTGCTTTCCCTGTTCCTGTTGTGTTTGCTTGCTCCTGTTCATTCCACGCCGCATCTGTAAAGACTTTAATTGGTGTTCAGAGCTCAGTGTTGTCAATTGTACTTCCTTCGGTGTGCTTTCTTTCTTCCTGTTTGTATTTTCTTTCTCCTCCAGAAGCTACTGTTTCCTTTACAATTATATTTTGTTCCAAAGACATACTATTTTTTATAGCTTGAGCAGCAGAAAAGACATGTGTTGGACATGCATCTTTCTTCTGAAAAAGTGGCATGTGGATGATTAGAATTGGCTAAATTTAAGATGATGTTAACTAAAGAATCTGAGTTCTGGCTCAACATGTCAGATGTAATATACCATGGTTTTGCAAACCAAGCTGCTCTTTTCCCTGTAGGTAAAGCTTTCTTACCATACCGTACTGTATACGGCCATCCCACTTAAATTTGTACTGTCCGGATGACATTTCATTGTAGCAATTTTTTTCCTGGTAGAGAAGCGCTGTCCGGGTGGAAATAATTGAAGGTAGAAAATCCTTTACTAGCGACTCAAGTCGGCAGTCTTAAAGATTTTTCACTTGACATCGACTCGGCGTTTTTATGTGGCCATAGGCGAGTCATGTTAGCGTTAGCAACGACCATCACATCTTATTGGAATACTAGCCCTGGAATTTCCTAGCTACATTTACTATCTTGATTGACACTACAGACGACTTGTACCCGGGGTCGCCTTTATACAGTCTACAAATTGGCCTAGCCAAACACCAAACCCCAACACCAACACTAAACAGCAGACAGACCAGCCTACTGGTGCAGCGGAACGATGAGCGAGATACTCATCGCCATGTCCTTTGTGCTGATGTTCTTGGCAGCTGCGCCGCAAGCATCAGCCGCGGTCCCTGGAGCCGCCGGAGGGATCTTGCAGATCCCTTCTAATGACTCCTTGGCTCACTGTATCCCAAGGTGTGGGGATGTCGACATCCCCTATCCCTTCGGTATAGGGCCCGGCTGCTTCCGTCAAGGCTTCGATCTCACCTGCAACCACTCCACCAAGCATCCCAGGCTCTTTTTAGGCAGCAGCACTATCCAGGTCACTGACATTGGCGTATACTCCGGCGTAGTATTGACCCCTATAATCTACAACCTTACAACAATGTCAGGTACAAATACGTACGACATCATATGGCAGGCCCCTGCTAAAGGTATTACTCTCACTAGTGATAATACTTTGTACGTAGCTGGTTGTGATTTGGACGTCACCTTGTTCAAGTATGGTACAAGAAACATGGTTGGTTCTTGTATGACTAGATGCGCCGGCAGGAAGGCACCGACTGGAGGGCCTTGTTATGGAAAGGGCTGCTGCCTCATCCCCTTTGCAAGTGACCTGCCAGGCTTTCACGCAAATCTTGTCAGCACTAATACTACGGCAACACAATCAGATTGGTTGCACCCTGGCATCATGGCGTTAGTGTCAAGTAATCCATATTCTTACAGAGATAATACAACCGACCTTTTCTCTAGTTGGACAAATCCAAGCACAATTGATGACGCGTCACTTAGAGTTGCCATCATGGACCAACCAAGCTGTGTAAGTGCACAACTGAAGAACAAAAGCTATGCCTGTAGCAATGGTAGCAGTTGTCGGGATTCTTCATACGGTGGTTACCAATGTGACTGCTCTTCTTATAGCGGACGCAACCCTTACATTTTAGATGGATGCACGCGACAAGAAGGTGCTTCCTGCCCTACTTTTTTCACCAAAAGGAGTTAAAATTCCCTTCTATTTATCTTTCATCCTGTTGTTCTTACTTTTTGTGTCTATCTATTGTGGAGCAGATTATAACTCCAAGCCCAAAGAACACTGTCCTGCATCATGTGGACGCATTACTATTCCCTTCCCCTTTGGGCTCGAAGAAGGGTGCTATGCCAACAAAAAATTTCATCTGAATTGTACATCTGGTAATCTCACAGTTTATTTCTCAGAAAATGTACAATATCATGTGACTAATGTATCCGTGGAAGATGGGACTCTGACAGTTAGCAACATGGTGGACGGAAATCATGCGAAAGAGTCGATATTAATCGAGACTGACAATGGATATGCACTTGAGACACCTCTGGAAGCTCAATTTGATTTCTCTATGGAATTCGATCACATTGTTATAAAGTGGGCGGTTGCCAATTTAACTTGCCAAGCGGCTAAAAAAGAGGATACTATGTATGCATGCCGCAGTTCCCACAGCAACTGCCGAAACGTCACCCACGGGGAAATATTTATGGGCTATCGTTGCAACTGTTCGTCAGGCTTTCAAGGAAATCCGTATGTCGAGGATGGCTGCAAAGGTCTGATCCTCCTCATCACCCATCATTGTGCACTAATGTTTTTTTTTGCGGGGGGCACTAATGTTTTTCTCATAGCTACAAATGTTCAAAAAATCTATCGATATATCTATAAAGTATATACTAAAAGCACAATATAGAATAAAATTAGCGAGACTGTTAAAAATTCCCGCAAAAAAGTAGAACATTAATTTGCCGATCACAACAGTTAGATCCACATGTGAGATATAGTGGGTCAGGTGACCCTTCCTCCCGAGTCGCTCCTACAGGCAACCAAGAGGAGAAACCTACCGCCGCCGCCAGGGAACCCTCCTCCCTCTCCCCACACCCTCGCTGGCAGCTGACAGTGCGGACTGGCGAAGCCCAGTCTGCACAGGCGGCGACGGGGTCTTCTTCATCCCCTCACACAGGTCAGATTTGATGGGACGGGTGCTGCGCTGGCTAACGAGCGTGGCGACACGAGGCGTGGAGAGCGGTCGGCAATTGTCCTGGCGCCGGTGAAACGTGGTGGTGGTGCTTGCTCTGGGATGGTCCGATCTTGAGCGCAGCGGTGGTCTGGTCAGTGTCCTTGGCCTTCGCTTCTATAGCAAGCAGGATGTGCGCTTCGGCTGGCAGCCCAGCTTTGCGATGGGCGGTGGCGGCAGTCGTGCATCTAGCAAGCGTCCAGATCACATCACGACGTGATTTTTAACCGTCCTGCGGCGTATGGAGGGGGCGGTGAGGAGTGCTAGATGCCCTCTACCGGTCGTTCCAACTGCTGCGTTCGTTTTCACGGCGTGGTTCGCACGGATCTAGCATGCGGCGGGGTCAGGATCGTGCGATTGCCCGTTAAAACCAGGTCCACCTCGGTCATGGTGGACGATGGCGGTGACTTTGGTTTCGACACCTTGTCAAAGGCCTCGTCGGTTTCAGCCATCGCCACCTCTGTTCGGTAGCTCCCGAGGAAACTCTAGATTTGGGATTCCCGAGTCGGACGATGGCGGGGCCTTCGAGCCGTCCTCCCTCTTGGGGGCGTCATTTTGGAGCTGGTGCTGGCTAGCGGGGACAAGAGGAGTGGTGTTCTTTCTTCCACGACTATGACGACAGGTCTCAACGGCGTGGCACTTCGGAGTTTCTTCGATGGTCGCGTGTTGATGGACATGGGTAGGTGGTGGCGCTCTCGGGCGTTGCGCTGGCGTCAATAGCAGTATAGCCTGGCAAGATGAATGCGTTGGTCCTTCCTGAAGGTGGGATGGTGGAAGGTGGCGGCATCTAATTCTAGAGCGTACGTATGCATGCGATGCATGTTGAGGGTCTGCTAGACTGGTTGATGCCCTCGGCTTGCCGGCGGGCGGCTTAGTGGGGCCACCGGACTAGATGGTTTGTGTCGACACGTGGTCAGGTCACATCATCAAGCTTGTTTGTGTACTAATTGTGGTTGCAAGGATGGTGGCTGTGGGTTGATCAATGTACTTCTTTGTCGGGGTTCTTGTGAATCTATGCATCGATCGACGCAGAGACCGAGGGTCATCCTCCTTTTCAAAACATACAACTGCTAGATCCACATAAAAAGATCACACCCGTTATATTTTCATAATCTTATCTAAACATATTGCATCCTATATTAATAATTTACATAAACAGATAGTAACCATTAGATCTACATTTCGTTAAATATGCATAGTACTACACCTAATCAAATCTGTTAGATCTTCATAGTACTACACCTAGTCATACCTACACAAATCACATAAGTTGGATCTTCATAGCTGTATCTAATCATATCTTAATAGTAGATCTCCGTATCTAAAAAAATCATAGCCAATAGATCATCATAACTACACTTATAGAGATCCTGCACAATTGGTTTTACATTCACGTGTTATTTATTTATTGAACTATAAATGAAAAGTTCATGTTACGCCTGCTTTAAATCATGGTCGTCCTTACCACATTCACCAATGCTAATCGAACACAATTGATAGATATTCCATTGGAGCCCTATAAAAAAATATAGCCAATGGAAATATTCATCTATGTACATAGTTAGTACAATCAAAAGCATACACAATATTTCAAGGGTGTTATGTAAAGGAAAATAGTTGGGTGTGTCATAGGCACCAATAATATGCATTTACAGGGAGTACATAAATGCCCGTTGATTACCAGAACCGAAGGCTTGAAGATGTAATTTTCATAAATATAGAAGATGAATCTCAACTTTAGTCGATGTCCTTGTGGCTCAACGACTGATTGGATAAATATGTTATTAACAAGAATCAACAACATTAGATTTTTTTGTACTAAATAATTTTCCAGCCCTTGTTTCTTCTATTAGCAACATAGTCATATATTTATCTACAAAATAGAGGTCAAAGATATACCTCTAGAATTTTATCAATGTATAAAATGAAATGTATTATGCAATGAAGGAGGTAAATATGAGTAAAAAATGTACATGAGATAAAATAAATAATTAACAGGTTCGACAAGCTAACGATGATGCGAGGGCCACCTTGTTAATTTATGAAAACATCACGCAAACCTAAAGCAGTATCAATTGATGCATACTTTGAGAACATACCACACTAATCTAGCATTTTTAGCAAGTAGTAATACATTCTCTACCGGTCTAACCAATGAAAGTTTTCTACAGATATCGATGAATGTGCACTATCAAACTACTGCAATGGGACATGTCAAAATTTTCCTGGAGGCTACAACTGCACGGGTTGCCCTCATGGAAAAGAGTTTAATCTCCTAAAACGGCAGTGTGTTACATCAACAAAGGAACACAATCTTGTTTTGGGTAAGTCCTACTCCCTCCGTTTACTGATATAAGACGTTCTACCTTTTTTGAATTAGATGTATATAGATGTGTTTTCGTGTGTCAGTTCACTCATTTTTGTTCATATATAGTCTACACTGAAGAATCATAACTGCTAGAAGGGAGAGAGGAATTTGTGGAATCGTTCGTTGTATTGCTTGAGCCTCATGGGCTTTTATATAGGAGTACAATGCCAACTTGGAGTAGAAGACAAGGCAAGACAAATCCTAGTCTATTTTATGTTTTCTAACGAATCAATATACTCAACATCCCCTGCAGTCACAACGGCAGCGACGCAGACAGTGAGACAGTAAAAGAATCCGAAGGTAAGCCGGCGGACACCCCGCCACAGTCGTAACGGTCAACGCATCACGGAAGTCATGGCTGGAACGAAAACCGACGAGGTTTCTCAACCAAAGCAGTGGCCCTTTGTGCCGTTTGTCGAAGTAGCCGAGAGCGTAGGGTGGTGTAGTCGTAGTCGAGGTAGCCGTCCGAAGAATGCCGTGGTCAATGTTGAGTCTGAGTAGCCGGTTTCGAGGAAGTCGCCGCAGGCGCAAGGAAGCGGTGAGTTAGCATGTGCGCAGTGGTGTCGAAGTAGGGGTGCACCGGGAAGAAGATGTTGTTGACGATGCGTCGCGGCGGGGTTTGCCAAGCCCGGGGGCACGTCATAGACGAAGGCTCGCACCGGTGTTGCCAGCAGCGGACATGCGTAGACGGATGAAGACGAAGTTGACGAAGCGCCGCACAAGGCTTGCCAGACCCGGGGACACGTCGTGGATGAAGACACTCATCGGTGTTGCTAGCACCGCGCATGCATAGACGAGGGGCCTACACGAGTTGTACGCCATGTCGAGGAGTCGGAGGACCAGCAGAGAAGAATACTCAATGAAGGTTATGGCGCCAATCGATGCAGGGACGATGTCGCAATCAGTGGTCGGAGTAGACGAAGTTGTCGGGGTAGATGATGGCGACGCTGGTGTCGTGCTGGTGCTGGACGAAGACGAAGGGGGTGGACGGGCGGCGGCGGTGGCTACGGGGGTGGACGGGCGGTGGTGGTGGCTACGGGGGTAGTAGCGGCGGTGACCGAAGAAGAACGACGGCGACGGCAGCTAAGTTAGGAGTGCGCCGGCGGTGCTCGAAGTAGGCGAGGAGAACCCAACAACGTGACAAAGACCAGCGCGGACGGTGGCGTTCCCACGTCAAGGGAGGCGGCATGGCGCATACCATGGGAAGTCGACGCGCCGGGACGGCGGTGGACCGCGGGCCGCAGTGCCACGGCCCGAAGGGGCGTCGCGCCGGCAGCAGGCGACTCGAGGCGACAACGGGAAGACCGCGGGGCGGCAGCAGGGACCTCGTATCGCAGCACTACGGCCCAAAGGGGCGACGCAGCAACGACGCGCGGGTCGGTGCAACCGCGGGGACGACCTTGGGGCGGCGGCGGGGACCGCGTATCGCGGCACTCCGGCCCAAAGGGGCGACGCAGCGGCGACGCACGAGTCAATGCAGCAGCAAGGAGACCCACCGGGCGGAGGCGCTGCGGCCCAACGGGGGCGACGCAGCGGAAGCCCGTTGCTCGATCGGTGGAGGAGTGCACTGAACTCGGAGGCGATCTTAACGGGACCTGCGGAGGCGCGAGCAACCGACGGGCCAGGTTGGTCACGGGGCGTAGATTAGGCGGATCGTGGCAGCCAGCAGGTGATCAAGCCAATCGCGCAGGAGGTCGGGGACGCCGCTCGGTGAAGGCGGGGTGGCGGCGGAGTCTATGATGAAGCCGGCGATGCCTGATAGCATGGGACATCGTGCGACCGGCACCCGGGCTGCCAAAGCAGCGCCGGCGCCCGGGCAGCAAGGCCCGAGCGACCAACGTAGCCGCGACGCCCGAGCTAAGACAGTCAACGAGCCTGACGCCGCCTTGGACGAGGCTGGCGAGGTAGACCGCAGGGCCGCCATATAGACACGGCGGTGGCAGGTGGCGTGGATCGATGGGCGGGCCGGTGCGTGTACGGTGGCTATGATGGGCGGCTGCATGGTGCGAGGCCGCTAGGTTGGGGCGATGCCGGTGTCCCGGTCGGTCGGAGAGGGCGGTGACCGCTGGCGTAGATCGACGAGCGGGCCGGCGCGCGGACGACGGCTATGAGGGACCGCATGTCACGCGAGGCCACCGTGTCAATGAAGAAGCTTGCCGGTCGCGCCGGTGTCGAAGTAGAGGCGCATGGGGGTCAACGGCGGCGGCAGGCGACTCAAACCGATCAAGCATAGATAGGAAGACCAAAAAGAATACGCCGATCAAAGCGACCGACGAGAGAGAGAGAAAATCCGGAGCAACAGCTCAGGAAAAAGACTCTCTAGAGCAGCCGGTCAACACCACCGGCGGACGAACCCTAGGTACGGGCAGCGCTGCCTCCGCGGCAGTCATGGAGGCCGATCTCCCTGGGGGTGGCGCGTGGGTGGAAGCGTCGGGCGGCGGCTAGGGTTTGGATCTGTTAGGCTGATACAATGTTAGAAGGGAGAGAGGGATTGAGCCTCATGGGAATATATTTAGGAGTACAGTGACCAGCTTGGAGTACAAGAAAAGACAGGACAAATCCTAGTCTATCTTATATTTCCTAACGAATCAATATACTCAACAAAAACCATCTTATAATAGTGAATGGAGGGAGTAGCTAGAAAAATATCCTCATTACAATTAAAATTAACCAATTATAAAGTGACTCAGCGATGATTAAATGTAGGTATCGCAATTGGAACTGGATGTGGCCTAGGCTCCATACATATTGCACTTTGTGTATTCGTATTCATCAACAAGTGGAAGAACGGCATCCAGAAGAGAATCCGGCGAGCACACTTCAAGAAAAATCAAGGCCTACTCTTGGAGCAGCTGATCTCAGATGAAAGCGCCACAAACAAAACAAAGATATTCTCCTTAGAGGAACTAGAGAAGGCAACCAACAACTTCGATGCCACTCGTGTTCTTGGTCGCGGTGGACACGGTACAGTCTATAAAGGTATTCTATCTGACCAACGGGTGGTGGCTATTAAAAAATCCAAAATTGTCGAGCAAACTGAGGTAGACCAGTTTATCAATGAGGTTGCTATCTTGTCTCAAATCATTCACCGCAATGTCGTAAAGCTATTTGGTTGTTGCCTCGAATCTGAGGTGCCTTTGCTGGTTTACGAGTTCATATCTAATGGTACGCTGCACGACCTTCTTCATATTGATGTTAGTGTTGAATGCTTGCTGTCTTGGGATGACCGCGTCAGGATTGCGGTAGAAGCAGCAGGCGCACTTGCTTATCTACACTCTGCTGCTGCAATACCAATTTTCCATAGAGACGTGAAATCTTCTAACATACTGTTGGATAGCAGCTTCGCTACAAAGGTTTCCGACTTTGGTGCTTCAAGGTCACTTTCACTTGATGAGACTCATGTGGTGACTATTGTCCAAGGAACATTCGGTTACCTAGATCCAGAGTATTACCATACTGGGGAGCTAACTGAAAAGAGTGATGTGTATAGTTTTGGAGTAATTCTTGTGGAACTTTTGATAAGAAAAAAGCCAATTTTTATCAACGATCGAGGTGCAAAACAAAACTTGTCCCATTATTTCGTCGAAGGATTGCAAGAGGGATCTATCATGGAAATAATGGATCCTCAGGTTGTCAGAGAGGCAAATCCGGAAGAGATTGAAGATATTTGCTCACTTGCTGAAGCATGCTTGAGACTCAAAGGAAGAGACAGACCTACTATGAAAGAAGTAGATATGAGGTTGCAATTCGTGAGAACTAAGAGGCTAAGAAAATGCAAAATTCTACCAGCTAGTGATGAAGAGATTGAGCCTTTTTTGTGCCCAAAGGATGGTAATTCTTATGCACCAGTGAATGCTGTCAATGTTGATAATTCAACATCAAAAGGCACCTCTAGTTGCTACAGTCTCGAGCAAGAACTTTCATCGTCGGTCACATGGCCACGCTAAGTACATATGTGCAATAATACAATCGCGTCCTTCCTAGTATTCATTTGAATTACAATTTATTTTCTGTGTATTTATATTATGTTACACAGTTCACTTTAAACGAGATTATGTCATGTAGTTTCGGTTCTGTATATTTGCAAAATTTATTTGTAGCTCATGTCAATTGTGTACAATTATATTACAATTATTTGTGATGAATATGCTTGCAATGAATAACTTAAGTTAAATCAAAGTACTTTGAGTTGCAGTGGTGGAGAAAAACATTTTTCTGTTGGCTTCCTTGGTTAAGGCTCCAATAAGATCTGACTGATGCCCAATTTAGAAGTAGTTTGTTGTATCTCTTATATTAACACTGTAAATGACTTCGAAGTCAGAACATGGGGTGTCCTCGGACGTCTCTTATCATGTACACGTGTCCGCTTAGACACAGTTCCCTGTCCTCGTTGTCGCATGTCAAGATCTGGGTTCCACTGCCTAGAGCGAGTGGGCAATGTGTGGTTTCTTGTTGTTAGGTATGGCATCTTCTGTAATCTTGTTCGGGTTTGAATTGGTAGCTTTTGATGCTCAAGGAAATGTCGATTTTCTTTTTGGCCTGCTTGTATGAGAGTTCCAACACCACCGTGCAACTGCTGAACAAATGCCATATATACCAGGATGCTAACAGCCTTTACAAATGAAGATATGGTCACATCCTCCATGGAAAATTCTGCATGATTTCAATGGCTATCGTTAATTTGCCATGTTTCTGCTGATCGACATTCTCCAATTCACTAGCCAGTGCCACAGAATTAATGTTGACGCGTCTGGAAAAGTCTGCATCTAGGTTTCGGATCTAGTCATTTATTTCCATGTCATCAAGAAGAGCGCAAAGTTTCTGGGAGATGAAAGTGAAGGGACATAAATATCGATTGTTGGAATATTATCACAGTGGTTGCAGTATGCGCACATCAAGCAAGCATACACTCTCGTGCAGCTCCCCTGATCTCGCGTGTTCCCGTGCAGCTCGCCCGTGTCGCCACGCTCGCCCTCCACCTGTGCTGCCCCGTGTCGTCCTCGTCCTTGTACTCGCCGCCAACGCATCTTTCTCCTGTCTCCGGCTGGCGGCAGCTCGTAGCAGTGGTTGTAGGAAAACACCAATGATTGCAGCTTTGCGCGTGTGTGGTTGTAGCTTGTGTGGGACACGGTGGTAGCATTCTCCAACGGAAAGCGTCAACACTGATAGCTCCATTCGCACAGTTGTAGCAGCACCGAATCCAGTCACCGGCACTGCTGCGAATAGTTGCAGCTTTTTCTTCGGCCGCCGGTTCTCGCAGCACCGCGGGTTGCAGCTCCGTGGACAACCATCAAAGCTTTTTTAAAATACAGTTATAGTTTTTTTTCTCTGGTGGCTAGTCGCAGCTCGTCGTCGTGCGCCAACCCTACAACAAGCATTTGCTGGTTCCAGCAAACCTTCTCGCCGATTGCATAAAAAAAGGTCGCCGGTTCCAGCACCTTGGCGACTAATCGCCACCATGGATGTACCAATTCCAATCGCTGGTTCTAGCAATAGTTGCCGGTACCAGCAAAACAACATGCCGCCGTCCGTTGCTCTTGTCGGTTGTAGCAAAAAAGATGGCCTGTTCCAACATCCGTTGTGGTTGGTTGTAGCTCCCACCATGGCGGGCTCGAGCACTCGCCGTGAGCAGCTTTTAGCACCCCCCTGGCTCGGTTCCAGCGCCAAATATGGCCGAATCCAATGCTTGTTGTGGCAGGGGCATAGTGACCCCAGAAGGTGCGTGGTTGCTAGGACAGCTCATAGCCATATTGAAGCGACGGTGCGGCCATGAATCGGCAGCGATGAATTGTCTGGGGAGATGAAAAACGAACGGAGGAAAAAGAGGATCGCGTCCACTACGGAGGAGAAAACTATGAGTGGACGAGACTGCGTGTGAAGAGATAAGGCTGACATTGATGCACGGACCTACCACCCTAAGTGTGCCAGAGTTGTTCTATCTGTTTTGATCGCACGGTGTGCGTGCGACCAGCCGAAGACTTGGCCAGTCGGTCGGCGTAAAACGTTTTCCTTTTCGAAATGTTGGATATTTTCTATTGAATCGTCACATGCATTTGACATCCAAAATTTCGCGGATTACATGACCTGCCAAACATGTTTATCCTAATCGATGCTAAACTTGTTGATGAGGATGATGCTGGAGTTGGTCGACGTTAAGGTCACCTTAAGAATGTCGACCCTTCACATACCCGCTCTCATCACCGACACTACCTCCTGCAGCCGCCGTGGAGGAGGTCCTTGGCATGGCGGACGGAAGCACGAACGTCACCTTGGTCACCATCGCCTGCTTGCATTGTGGGCATGTCACCTTGGCCTCCATGATGGAGGTGGCTCAGACGTTCAGTACCCTCAGCAGGCGTACATCTGCAACCTGGCAAGTGCGACGACGGGGACGACCCTGGCCGCAACCCTCCAGAACCTTGGGCTGGAGCAGGTCGTCCCGGTGCAGCACCTTGGGCTGGGGCAGGTCGGCAAAAATCGCGGTTCTCACCTGTGGTTGAAATCAATTCACAAACTGAAATGTTGCCGGAAAAATGTCGCTCTGCTGACCCTTTCGTGTAGCACCTGAGAGCTAGGCGGCACACTACACTATGCAGCGCCTGACTGATAGCCGCTAGACACCTGGCCAGCATCGCATCGTGAGCGGCCCGAAAATTGTAAGTCAGTCCGCAACGCCTGAGAGTTAGGCGGTACACTATACTATACAATGGAGCGCCTAGTGTCTAGGTGTTGCACTAGTGGCCGCTTCATATTGTAGTGGCTAATAGTGCAACCACTAGTGCAACACTAGACACTAGGCGCTACACTTTATATTGTACCGCCTAGCTCTTAGGCGTTGCACACTGACTTAGTAATTTTTGGGCAGCCTTGGGTGAGACGCTGGCCAGGCATGTGGCGCCTGTTAGTTAGGTGCTGCATAGTGTAGTGTGATGCCTGGCTCTCGGGCATTACACGAAAGGGTCTGCGGAGTGAAATATTTTCACCAACAGTTTAGTTTGTAAAGTGATTTCGATCAGAGGTCATATTTGTCGTTTTTACCGAGCATGTCGGACTAGTCGACGCTCTGGACCGCAGGTAGGAGGAGCTGATGTTGTCCACACTCTGGTATAGGCGGCCGACGCACCCCGGCCTGCATTGTGCCGGCCAAAATGAGTTTCACCATGACACCAATGGGCAGGGTCAGCAGGCTGAAGCTCAAGTCGACCATGCTGTCCTGAGAGAATAATACAACTGAAATTATTGATAACTACAATTTCAAAATGATAGGAAGATTACCAAGGTTTATATTGTTTTGCCTGTTAGATGGGAAGCATTCCTACTCCTCGATGAGGAGCCGCGTTGCTTTATATTGATATGAGACAGGAACAGCCCCTGTCGTGGCTTACAAGGCAATACCGATCAATTGTGATTCGGTTGTTACAGAGGAGGAGATAGATACGAGAGAGAGAGGGAGAAGATAGAGTTTGTTGAGATTACAATAGATGATTCTATCTCTATTTCTAACACCCTCCCTTAGCCTCAACTATCCTACATTAAGATTCCTTTTGAACTCCTCAAATGGTTTGATTGACAACGCCTTAGTGAAGCCATCTGCTACCTGATCTTTGGAGGGAATAAATCTGATGGCTAATTTCTTCTCTGCAACTCTTTCTCTCACAAAATGAAAATCAATTTCAATGTGTTTAGTTCTACCATGAAACACTAGGTTAGCAGAGAGATAGGTGGCGCCCAAATTATCACACCATAAGCATGAAATGCGGTGTTGCTTAACACCCAACTCATTAAGTAATGATTCCACCCAAATGATCTCAGCAGTTGCATTGGCTAGTGACTTATATTCAGCCTCTGTACCTGACCTTGACACTGTAGCATGTTTCCTGGAACTCCAAGAAATAAGATTAGGACCAAAGAATATTGCAAATCCTCCAGTTGACCTACTGTCATCACTGCATCCTACCCAATCAGCATCGGAAAAGGCACTAACAAGAGTGGAGCTGGAACGTTTGAACTAGAGTCCTAGGCTTACAGTGTATTTTATATATCGTATAATTCTTTTAACGGCTGTCCAGTAGTAGTAGGTGCATGTAGATACTGACAAACCTTATTAACAGCGAATGATATATCTGGTCTTGTCAGTGTCAAGTACTGTAAAGCCACAACAGCACTCCTGTACCTTGTGATCTCTTCTTCCTTTAGAGGCTCCCCTTCGAAGGCTGACAGTTTTTCTGAAGAGGATAATGGTGTAGGTGAAGGCTTACAATCCTTCATCCTCTTGCGAGTCAGAAGCTCAGTCGCATATTTTTCCTGGTTCAGTACTATGCCATCTGGAATCTTCTTGACTTCAATGCCCAGTAAGAAGTGTAGATCACTAAGATCTTTCAAGGCAAACTCTAAACTTAAATCATGAAGCAGAGCATTAGTAGGACTTGGTGAAGAACTAGCAACTATAATATCATCAACATATATCAAAACAAATATGACTGTGTTTGCCTTATTGTAGATGAAGAGTGATGTATCAGCTTTAGATGCAACAAATCCAAGTCACCTTAGCTGAGAGCTTAGTCTTGAGTACCATGCTCTTGGTGCCTGTTTTAGGCCATAAAGAGCCTTATCAAGCTTACACACATAGTGAGGTGTTTTTTGTTTGCATAGCCAGGTGGTTGTCCCATGTAAAACTCCTCTTTCTGGAACACCATACAAAAACGTGTTCTGTATGTCTAGCTGCCTCAAGCTCCATCCCCTGGAAATAACAATAGCTAACAAAAGCCTAATAGTTGTAGCTTTAACAACATGACTAAACCTGTCCCCGTAATCCAGACCATATTGTTTAAAACCTTTTGCGACTAAACATGCCTTGTACCTGTCAATCGAGCCATCTGCCTTTTTCTTGACTCTATATACCCATTTACAGTTAATAACATTTTTACCTCGCTGCTCAGTGATGTCT